CCGCCACTGGTCCTAATATATGGTGAGCAATACTATCCAAAAATATGCCTAGCGTCTAATTGGACTTTATATTTTAAAATATAGTCATAATATTCCTTCAATACATCTGTAATAATTGTTTACTGTACCTTGAGGCATATTTCATCTTGATTAAAACTCCAATAGGGACTTTTTGAAATGTTTATAATATTTTCTCCAGTTTTCAATTCACATGTGATGCCCACTAAATGCATTGAGGGCGCTCTTGCTCTTCCATCATGGCGTTGGTGAGCAGAGAGGGGGGGGGGTTCTTCATCTGCGTTTGAGAAAAAGGAGGCAGAATAGAGAGCCAGGGAGTCCAGAGGTCCGAGTCGGGGGGCCCCTGAAACTCAGAGAGGAGGAGGTGCTGAAAAAGGGACTCGATCCCGCCCCCCTCGAAAAAAGCCTGGAAGAATTGCGCTCCGTCAGTGCGCGCTGCCTGCCAGTCAGAGGATGGGGGTTATTTTTACCCATTCATCCACGTCTCCTTTTTCCCTCCTCCTCCTTCTCTCAAACAAGCCAGTCGGTCTGTCAATTTGCTGCGAGCATTAGGGCCAGTCCAACCGGTGGGATCGTGGAGCAGAGAGACGGCTGAAGATAACGCATGCTTTGGATGAGAATAATCCAAATGATGCGCAACAGCAGATAGGCGTCCATTTCCAAAACCGGGACTCTTGTTTTTTTTAATCACTTCACAAGTTTTCAAGAAATTATGAGAGTGGAGATGCTTTTCTAGCTCTTTGGTTTTGTTTCTCTCTTATTGTTTTAATTCTCAACGAATGCTGAAGGATTCTCGGATTTACAACCCGTGTGTGTTTTACAGAATAAGGATTGCATTACGCACTGACTAAAGCCCAGCGAGCATCAACATGTCTTTATGAGGATGGAGCTGTGGACACGAGTGGCATCTTTTCCGTTTTAAACAGCAATTGTTTGGTTCCTTTGGCTCGGATCTTGACTGGTTTCTCCTGAAACACTGACTATTTCATTCCCACTTCAGCCTGATATGTTGGAGGGTTGATCTTCGGAGGAAAACAAGGTAATGGGAGAGAAATCACACAGAACAAGGGAACATTGTTCGGAAAAAGACAATTAGGGCGCACCGAGAGGCAACAGAAATAGCGCTTGGGTGGCGGTACATTTCCGAAAATTCGATTCAGTGGAGTTATATTTGAGCTCAGGAGCACTGCTTTGGAGAAAGGACTAATGAGAAATTAATGGAAAAGTCATGGGATCGGCACTGAAATAGTACGACCGTGGACGCGCAGAAAAACCGTCGTTTTTGGAGATCCTGACGCACGGATTGAACAAGTTTCTCCTGTCTGCTTTTGGTTTAATTCTGCCACATTTGGTAACATTTTGGATCCACGAGGTTGTCTTTCACTCCACACGCTGACTGCCTCTACCTGATCGGCTTGTAGTCGCACATCCATTGTTTTGAGGATCTCCTTTGCTACAGTTTTGAAAACAGAAACCATTTCTTTTTTTTTTTAAATGGGACTACAAATGCTTGGTGCGAGGGTTGAAATGGCGTGTCGACGAAGTGGGAATGGATTGGGACTCCTGCTGATACTCTTACTGGATTTACTGGGGTCGACGGTCAGCAATATGGAGCCCATCTTCTGGAATTCACTGAACGAAAGGTAGAGAGCTCTCCATAAAATCTGCTTAAATGCAGGTTTCAACTTGAAGTTTGCAGAAAGAGAAAAAAAAGTGATCGAAGAATTACTGTAATTGCATTTTTTAAATGTGACTTTAGGTAACATGTAGGCCTTTGAATGCAAACATGACGTACAAAACAACATAAAGTTACATAATTACGCGAATCCACTACTATTTTCTCCTCACAATTTATTTCAATTGTGTTCATCTTAAGTGTAATTAGATAACTGTATACACCTTGAGAATGAATCGGGGTGATCAGTTTCCCAGCTGTTGTGAATGTGCCCCCCTCCCATTGATTACAGTGGATAATCCAGCTGTGGATGCTGTTGTTGGTACAGTCCTTGTAAACTGCCGGCCTATAGCAGCACTGTGTGGGATCATAAAGAGGTGTGATAGGGCTCTAATAGCTGCTGCTGGCTGAGTGGCTGACCTTGGTGGAAGTCTATAGGCCCCAGCCCACTGGCCCCTCTGACTGCAAGGTGCCCACTCGTTTGCATTTTTCTCCCCTGCCTCTGGAGAAGGTGTCAGGCATTAGCTGAGGAAATGTCATTTTAAACACCTCTCGGCCGTCCGGGCTTAACGACCGACACTTTCCTCACACCTCTGCCAATTCCCCAGTGTCTGAATTGACGCCTGGTGGCAGGGAGATTTGAGTGGAGTGGGGGGAGGTATTTGAGAATAACAAGGAAATGTATGCAAGTGAAAGGGAGGGATTGATGTCAGACTCAGAATAAGTGAAGAGCCAAAAATAGAAAAATATTAGGAGGCATGCATAAAGTATTACAGACAAAATTAAAATTACACACATTTACAAAAATACACAACATAAAGTAGGACCAGTAACAGTGTTTTAATGTATAAAGTAGTATGATAGCAACCAGGTAGTAAAAGTGACACTGGGCCTAATTTGTTTTATGCACAAAATCTACAATATAGTTCAAATCTGAAGTGTCCTCCAACAATGCAATATACTTAACAAAATTAGGAAAGACATGAAATAGTGCCAAAGACATAATGTTGCAGGAATAAGAAAACATAGAGAAAGTAAACCAGGCTTAATTTCTGCAAATCCTTTCTTTATTTCTCCTCTTATGAAATAAAAGCAACCAGATTATAAGGCTTTGTGCTTTATGGAGTAGCTCCCATTGCTTGAACTTTTGCCTCCATGACTCACTTAAAATGCAAAAAAACAACAAAAGCAAATGTACACTAACTGTAGCAGCTTAGTAAACACTGCCATCCCTGGCTCACACCCATGCCAGGGGCTTTTTTATTTTCTAAGTCTAACAGGTTTTCAATGCATCCATGTGCTGCAGGCTATATGTCCTGCCCGGTTTCTCCCCTCCACAGATGTGACTGTGCGTGGGCCCCCGCTGTGGAGCCAGGCATGAAGCCCTTAATGAGGGCTTTTTGTCAGCAGTGGGTGGATTCGCCCATAGAGTTGGACACGGGAGGGTAATTTTAAGTGAGAAGCTAACAGCTCGGGCTTTTGTGGCCTTACAGGTGATTCCACGCTATTGTGTCCTAATGGAGTTTAGTGCTAGGTGGGTGTCAGGGCTTAGTGAATGGGCCTGGCTGGCAATTATAGGTGTGGTGGCTTTGACGCCAGACTCCATAGTCATCCACACAGATTTGCTCACTCATATATTCAAAATACAAAGCCTATTGTGCAGCTTATTCACCAAGCTTACTATTCATAGTTAATCAGCTTAGTCATTCCTCCAGTTTATTTTCTTGGCCCCTTTACATACTTCCATGCACTTGTTTCTCGACATGACGAGAGCTGTGCTTTTAATTTGAGCCCGCCTCAGGGCTAAATCTTCGCCCTGGGCTGAAATATGTTAAGAGCCCAAGCTTGTCCAAATAGTGCGCATCTCCCAAGGACACAGTCCAGAGCCCACACACATGTGGTTGTTCTCCTGAAATGAGGCGCAAAGCAAGCAGAAGCAGTAGTGTGTATCCATCAGGTGCAGGAGCGCATGTATGGTTCACTTCCTGTCTGTGCAGCAAATGGACTGTCACATTGTTAACCTCTCCACCTCGGCTGGATGTTCTGCTTTGAAGTTTAGACCGTCCACCTGCAGCTCGCCTCCTCTCCACCTCTTCTCTCCCTCTTCCATTTCTCTCGTGATGCCTCCATCTCAAAGCCCTCCTTCTCCTGGCTACTTTTTCTTCCCCCTCCTGTCACTTCCCGTCTGTCTCTATCTCTACCTCGCTCCGTCACTCCCCCCCACCCCTCTCCAGTGCAGTGACCAGACGTAGCAAATTGGAAACATGTGTCACATCCAGCCACTAATTATAGCGCTACAGCAGCCTCTGACGTACCCAGAGATGTGTTAGGAGCGACAGAGGTGAATAGGGAAAAGGGAGAGGACCCCGTTGAATTCCTGGAATACATCATAAATAAAATATAGTATCCAAGTGCTGAATCCACCCTTTTATTGACTGCTCCATCAGTTGGAATTAATCCGGCACCGCCTGAAAGAGAGGAGACGGAGGGGTGTATAAACAGAGACAGGTGCCAGGAGGTGGATGTGAAAACAGGGAGAGAGACAGTCCTAACCCTAAGTAAATCAATAGCAGTTAAGTCTCAAGTGCCAATACAGGTTCTGCTCGAGGAAGAGAGAACTGAACCAGAACGATCACCTTGGGAAGAGTCTCCCCCCGGACATACATTATCCTTATTCAGCATCTCCTATTATCAGCCTTACACAGCCGCCCTAATGAAAGATCGAACTTGCATTACTGCTCTTCAGTTTGGGGGGGTGGTAGTAGAGTGCAGGTGACCAACACACACACACACACACACACACACACACACACACACACACACACACGATCAGATAGGTCACACTGGTGGACACAAACAACGAAGGGGAACTCAAGTGGAGTGAATGTTGGCTTTGGTGACTCTTCTGATCACAGCATATGGACTTCTGTAGTTTTTGGCCCCTTTTCAAGTTCTGTTCTGAAGGCCTAAACCTCTCTTTCACCCCCTCCCATCGCTTACAGTTCCCTTCTTTTTTCTTCCTTTCTTTCCATACTGTGTAAACGGCTGTAGGTTATTGTAAACGGCTGCTGAGGGTGGGCGTCTCCTCGCTCGCCGCTCGCGGTGACTTGTAATACAACTATTCCCCCTAAGATCCACATTAAAATGTAATCCCCCCCTTCCCGTTTCTCAATAATTCATTAATCGCCGGCTAATTGGCGCCGGATAAAAGACTAGCTAACTGGGCTAAGTGTTTCAACTACAAAAAAAACTGAGAAAGGCTTTCCAAAAAAAAAAATCACTGGAAATCTTCTTGGCGCAGGCATTCTGGGAGAGGAATGAGTGTTAGTGGGTCAAACAGGGTGTCATATCAAAGGAGCAACATTCCACTCGTTTATTGATTGTTTGTATGTTTCAAACTCCACACCCGGTTTCATCCTCGTAAGATCCACCCGTAGGTTTCCTCTTCATGAATAATGCATGAGTGCACCGAGGCTTTTCTGGGCTGTGTGGATAAGTAAGCAGGAGTCTGGTAAGCCTACACGCATCCTCGGGCTAAATGATTAGAGAATATCCACCGGGCAACTTTTTTTATTTTGCGAGTGAGGGAAAACAAGAGAAGGAATGTAATGAAGAGAAGGAAAGAATATGAACCATATTGCCCAAGCTGCCTGTTAAAACAAGCAGCCCCTCCTCCCTATAGCTCCCTTTCTCTTTCTACCTCCCCCTTTTTGTGGTGAAAAAGTGAGTGTGTGTAAGTTTACGAGCTGAGAGCAACAGGAGCTGTGAAGAGAGGTTTGAGCTGATGTTGCAGAATGGAAATGCCAGGGGAAAAGCAGCCAATCCCGCCACAGGCTGGAATCCTTCTTCGTTATTCCGTGCTTTCTTTGGGCATTGCAGGCTGGTAGGTGGACACACAGGTATGCAGTCAGTGTCTGACGTTAAAGATCTATCGCAGCTGCATGATCTCAACAGATGCCTGCATTCTAAAAGACTCATGGGGCTTGACCCCCCCTCCCTTCTATGTCGGACACATGTGTCAAAAGTGTGTGGTCCTTTTTGTTGCAAGTGAGCATTAAACACGCACAACGAGACGGTAAACACAGGAGGGCAGATGTGCACACACACACACACACACACACACACACACGGGAGAGGTGAGGAAACTGGCAAGCGTCACGGACTGTTCCACTCGGAATTCATTCATTATTTTATCACTCGATTATAAGTTTATTTGGCAGGGGCTGTGCACATTCATCAACATCATAACAGCCATAAAGCGTCGTTGTAAATATGCTGGGGCTAGCTAAAGAACTAATTTACTCCCCCAGTCCCCGAGGCTTTAGAAATGACTTTGGGATTTTGGTAATTGTTAAAAGTGCTGATGATTAGGATGAAGGAGATTTAAAAGCGTGTGGCTGGAGCACATGCACAAACAAGCAACTTTCTTCCCCTGGAAACATGTACACTCATTTTACAATGGTGGTAGTGGGAACAGTAATCCGTGGCCCTGGGTCTGAAGGGGTCACATGTGACCCTGCATCCCTGGGCAGACTGCCCTGGGTGGCTGAACCCAGAGCCCCTTAGCAAAGCCAGACTACACACACACACACACACACACACACACACACACACACACACACACACACACACACACACACACACACACACACATTGGCCTCTCATTAGCTTGCTTCACAGCACACCCCTGCCTAAGAAGGATCATCCAATCCTCCTGGCAGCATTTGGACTAGGCCAGGTCAATCCTCCTCCCTCGGGTGACACAGAGGAATGGACTGGTGGTATGAGCCGCCTGTGTGTGTGCGTGTGTGTGTGTGCAATGTAGAAGCAACCTCTGTTATGCTGCTCATCACCTTCTCTATCCTTTCTTTTACTCGTGTTCCGGTCTCATAGCTTTTCCCCTCAGCCCTTTCTCCTTCCTCCTCCTCTTCCCTCCCTCCTCTCCTTGCCATTCACTTTTGTTTTGGC